GAAAAATAGAGAAAAATCAATAAAACAAAAGCTAGTTCTTTTAAAAGATCTATGAATGTGATAAGCCTTAGCTGGGCTGATGAAGAAGAAAGGAGAGAAGACATCAACTATAAAAATCATAAATGAAATGTTTAGGAATCTCACTAAACACTTCACAGATACTTAAAAAAAAACGAACACTATGAACCATTTTCATTCCATGAATTTGACAACTTTAATGACCAACATCTTGAAAGATGTAAATTACCAAAACTCACTCGAGATGAAATAGAAACTCTGAATAATCCAATAACTATTAAATTAACAGGATTTATAGTTACAAACCTTCCAACAAAGGACATTTCAGGACTTGATGATTTCACTGGTTAATTCAATCAAATATCTAAGAAAGAATAACAATTCTATACAATCCAGAAAATAGAACAGAAAGGAATCCTCCCAGTTTGTTTTATGAGGCTAGCAGTACCATATCAAAATCAGGATTGGTATTCATGACTTTTATTCTTAGATGTCTTCCAAAATAAATCACTTATTTTCTTTATAAAATAAAGCTCATTCTGGCCAGGTGCAGTGGCTCACACCTGTAATCCCAGCACTTTGGGAGGCCAAGGCAGGTGGACCCCATGAAGTCAGGAGTTCGAGACCAGCCTGGCCAACGTGGTAAAACCTCATCTATACTAAAAATACAAAAAAATTAGCTGGGTGTGGTGGCACGCACCTGTAGTTCCAGCTACTTGAGAGACTGAGGCAGGAGAATCACTTGAAGCTGTGAGGCGGAAGTTGTAGTGAGCCGAGATGGCGCCTTTGCACTCCAGCCTGGGTGACAAGAGTGAAACTCAGTCTCAAAAAAAAAAAACAAAGAAAACCACCTCATTCTATTTTGCAATTATCATCTGGATCCATTAAACCTTCTTATATATCTATGACACATTGACACAGTATGCAGTCTTAGTGATGCTGATTTTAATCTTACTATAACCTCAGTAATATACTAAATAATATTTCATCATTACTCTTCCATTGTTCCCAACTATGCTTTAAGAAAAGAGAGAGAGAGACAACAACAAAACAAAAATGACAGAATCACCTAGCAGGATGAGATCACGTTGAAATGAACCAGCCCTGGGACATGAGCCTTCAGTGTTCCTGCTGCAGTGGCCAAAGCCCTACAGAATTTCTCAGGAACGTCTAAGAGAAGACAGTGACACCATGCGTGTAGTGCTTTGTTAGACTTCACTGAAAACAGCTGGAAATTCAGAGTCCCTTCTTTATGCTCAAACGGCTAAGGAAACAAAGTTCGAGATAGGAAGAGATTTCACAATTATGAGATGACTCAGAGAGAAATGCAGAGACAGAACAGCACTCTAGATTCCAACAATGATGGTAACATTGATCGTATCAGCCAAAGTGCTTGAAGACTGAATGATACATTTCTAAGGATAAAAAAGGAAATGTGGTATTTTCATTCAGTTAGTCATCCAACAGGGAGGATCTGATGCAATATTTGGTGATCGACTATCTAATTTTGCTAAAAGGACACAATGAGATTATTCTTTCATCTTTTAAGATGTTTGCACATCAAAATGTACTCCATGCATGTTGCAAGTGAATAAATGGTCAAGGCAAGTGTGTTTTAAACAAGGATTGGAAGGGAATCGAAGATGTAGGAAAAAAAAAAAGGAATAAGTCACCAGACGTGGTGGCTCACACCTGTAATCCCAGTACATTTGGAGGCACGTTGGGAGGTGGGCGGATTGCGAGGTCAGGAGTTTAAGACCAGCCTGACCAACATAGTGAAACCCCATCTCTACTAAAAATACCAAAATTAGCTGGGCATGGTGGTGTGTACCTGTAATCCCAGCTACTTAGGAGGCTGAGGCAGGAGAATCACTTGAACCCAGGAGGCAGAGGTTGCAGTGAGCTGAGATTGCGTCACTACACTCCAGCCTGGGTGACAGAGAGAGAGACTCTGTCTCAAAAAAAAAAAAAAAAAAAAGGAATAAGTTATTAGACCAATCATTCACTCTACTTGGTATGTTTACTTCTTAAAATGCAAATATTTTGCAGTTAGGAAGCAAACAAGATAGTGTCCTCTTTTCAGCAAAGTTATGAACTTTCAACGTTTTCAAAAGTATTGTGTTTTTCTGATGCAGGTAGAAAGCAAAGGCCCAGAGAACAGAGGGGTCCAACCAACAGAGCAGAAAGGCTTCCAGAAAGGGGCAGTATCCAGGTCTGCTTGGTGGTGGAGGTGGAACAGGGCAGGCTATCCAGGCATAGGAGGCGGCCCCTCCCAACAGGCTCCCTGGGCTCAAATCCCTACCCCACTACTCATTATCTGTGTCCTTCTAGCCATGTCACTAACTGTTCTCTGAGCCCCAGCTCCTAGGGCTTCATCTGTGAAGCCAGCGAGGAATGCCTCCTTTCAGGGCTGCTGGGATATTAAAGGACATGTCTTCAGGAAACACAGCACAGGGTCTAGCCAGGGTGGACTTAGCTTTCTAAAGCAATTTCTTGCTTTGGGTCTCAGAGCTGTCTCTCCAGGGACTAAGCCAGGTCCCACTGGGCTGCAGCTGTCTCCCAGGGACCAAGCCAGGTCCCATTGGGCTGCAGCCTCTCCTCCTTTGTGTCCACCCTCCACTCCAGGGAGCTGAAGGATCTTTCTAAAGCACAGTGTGACTCCCTCACCCCATAGCATACAGCCTTCCCTGACTGCCGATGGAAGATGATGCCCTTCCCAGCCTGCCCTCCTGCCCTCTTGGCCTCCTCCCTGACCAGGCCCACCATGCAGGCTGCTCCCACACGTGCATCCTCTTCCCATTTCCCAAATGTGCTCAACACTCCTGCCTGTCTCTGTGATTTTCTTTTTTTTTTTTTTAGACAGAGTGTTACTCTTCGCCAGGCTGGAGTGCAGTGGCATGATCTTGGCTCACTGCAACCTCCATGTCACATTCAAGTGATTCTCCTGCCTCAACCTCCCAAGTAGCTGGAACCACAGGCACATGCCATCAAGCCCAGCTACTTTTTGAATTTTTAGTAGAGATGGGTTTCAACATATTGGCCAGGATGGTCTCAAACTCCTGACCTTGTAATCCACCTCAGTTTCCCAAAGTGCTGGAATTACAGGTATGAACCACCACACCCAGCTGCCTCTGTGATTTTGCAAATGCCCTTCCCTGGTCTGGAATGACCTTTCCTCCAGCCTGCACCTGGCAAACTCTTATTCAAACTTCAAGATCCAGCTCAAATGTCCCTACGTTTCCTGAGCAACTCACGGGTGCCTCCCTCTGTTCCTGTGGCACTTCGGTCATCTTCTATTTCTAAGTAGCTCTTTATTTTTGTACCTGCCTCGTATTTGACGCTGAGCCCTTCAAAAGGAGCATCTGGGTCTTATTCACTGTTCATCTAGTCCTGGGACAATGTCTAGCACTCGCAGATCCTCAGAAAATCTTTGATGAATGAGTGTATAAATACAAATAAGGTGAGTCATCTGAACGGAAAACTGCACTAGGTGGTTGAAATTTTCCATGTTCATTCTGCAGAGAATGGAAAATGAACTTTCTCCAGAGAATTTTTTGGGAAGGATTTTGTTTGTTTGTTTGTTTTAATGTTAGGCAATCAAGTCTCATAATAAAGCTCCTGAGAACCTGAACCGTTAGAAGCAGGTGTCCAACTTAACGTGTTAGATAATCATTTTGCTTAGGAAGAGACTATCATCATTTTCTTTCTTGCTTATTTTTTATTTTTTTAGTGTAGGCAAAATAAAACCTATGAATTCAGAAGGAGAAATTAGCATACAAGATCAGAAGGCCTTCTGCAGTCTAGCTGAGTGTCACAACAGTCTGGCCCCGTGGCCTTGGCTTCCAGAGGCTCCACTTTCAGGGAGCTGCCCTTGCCTAGGGAGCAGCAATACCTGTCTGGAACCCCTGGGGGCCGTGAGTGCCCCAAGGGCAAAACAGCATAGTGAGTGTCACTATGATGCTGTATCATCACGTTGGAAGACACACCTTGGTACTAGTATAGCACATAGCACTTTGGAATTACTCGTGTGATAATAATTGGTCAAGAAGGAGCTGACTAGCTACCTCACTCATGTGTGCTGGCTCTCAGCAGATGTCAGCAGGGAGTGATGGGGACAGGCCATCCCGTGGTGCCACTGTTGGATAGGCTTGGATGGTAGCCCCACTGTGGCTTCAAGAAGCATACATTCTCCCTGGGAGAAGGCCAAGGAGGCAGCACTGAGTTGGAGCTCAGCTGGACACTGAGATTGTCCCAGCTGGGAGAGGCCATGTGGGCTGGGGAGGGGTCTAGGGGGGAAGCATTGCTTGGGGAGTGACTGGAGGAGGTTCTTGCATCTCCTGAGGCAGTTGGCACAGATAACTTCTCAGTGCCCGTCAATTACCACAAGATGGTCTGCGTTCCCCAAATTCATACCCTTCACCTAGATTAACACCTGGAGGTGAGGAGGAGGTAGGAGACTTCAGTTCCTGAAGGTTACCGTGTTCACTTGACAAAGATTTACCTGCACTGAGTTTGTGCACAGTCCTCTGCCTGCCCTGCAGAGGAAGGGCTCAGCCTTGGACAGAGGACAGGCTGTGCTCATAGGTCTCCCAAGCTTAAATTTTAAAAGGCTAAGCAAAAAGCATATATTTTTCACCCTGGGTTAATAAATAGAAAAATAAGTATATGTATGTATGTATGTATGTGTGTATATATCTTTCATATACATATGAATATATATGTAAGTATATGCATATGCCAAAAGACTGAGATGATACCCAGCAAGACAGAAAAATGATGCTCACAGGTGGTAAGACCAGGGCTGTATTTTCTGGCTGTTCTTTGCCGAATGCATATTTCTTGTATGACTTTTTTGGAACCAAGAAAAAGAAAAACACATGGCTCCATTCTTTGTATACCTTTGCAGATGCTATGGAACGCCGGACTTCACAGCAGCACCGGCAGGCAGATAGAAAAGACACTGAACCGCGCTGCCTTCTTACCTAATGAGTCTTTGAGGTGCTTCATCTGTACTCAATGGTCTCTTCTCACACAGATTTCGAAATTCCCGAAAATTTAAAGTGACGCTAAGTCTCAAGCCAAGGAAGCCGAGAAAGCGCTCAAACTCCTGGTCTTTGAGATTGAGCAGCAGGTGCAGAAGCAATCTGTGAAGGTCATGCATGTTGATGATGCCATCCCTGTCAGTGTCGATTTTAAAGAAGGCAGAGTAGGGGTCCTAAAAATGAGACACCCACATGTCAAAGCACTTCCTTGTAAGCCCCGGATGACGACACATGCATACCCCCAGGTGTACAGCCTCATCTCCACATGAGGAGGGGAAGCTGCGCTGGGCCCCGACTATTGCTTTGAGAGACTCAGCGGTTCCAGGAATGTCCTCACGATGCTTTGCTTTTCCCAAGAAATTATGAAGCTCTCCAGCTACCCCGAAGATATCAACGATCCTCTCTGAATGCGAAGAGTTCAGGGAAAGGAACAAACACTGCTTTTCTTTCCCTTCCACACTCTCCATTTGTGGAGCTTATACTTCTAGTACAGGAAGGAAGGGAATGAGAAAGTGCTGGCAGTTTCTGGTGCATATGGACATCTTGCTCACAATTTTTTATGTCACTTTCATAATGTTTGGCCACTTCTGTCTACAGGCAAACAAATACCGCACTAAATCTCACACCAGGGAGCCCCCAGAGGCCAGGCCTCCATTTCAATGACGATGATAGAGATCAGCTGTGTCTAGGAGCCACGAGCCTGCCACATCTGAAGGACTTCTGCTCAGCACATAGTGGTGCTTGGAAGGCACAGGGATTCCTATTTTGCAGATGACAACACAGGCTCAGGGTCCCCAGGGAACCTGTGTCTAGAGACCCTGCTGCACGACAGAGCTTGTACTCTGGAGGCAGGTGGCTTAGTTGCAAATCCTCGCTCTGCCACTTACAAGCAACGTGACCAGGGGTGAGACAGTTAACCTTGTGGTACTTCTGTTTTCTCATCTGTAAAATGGGGACTAGGACAGTTCTTGTGTGGAAAGTAGAAAAAGTCCTTTTTAAAGTTTCCTTTCTTGTTAAAGAGTAAGTGTGCTAACAACTTTGTTAAGCCCCACCCTATGTAGCTATTGGACATTTCATGCTTACAGGCACATAGTACACTCTATGTCCTGGTACCTTTTTTTTTGGGGGGGGGTGGACAGAGTCTTGCTCTTTTGCCAGGTGCCAAGCTGGAGAACAGTGGCACGATCTCGGCTCACTGCAACCTCTGCCTCCTGGCTTCAAGCAATTCTCCTGCCTAAGCCTCCTGAGTAGCTGGGACCACAGGCGCGTGCCACCACACCCAGCTAATTTTTTGTATTTTTTAGTAGAGATGGGGTTTCACGATGTTGGTCAGGATGGTCTTGATCTCTTGACCTCACGATCCACCCACCTCGGCCTCCCAAACTGCTGGGCTTACGGGCATGAGCCACCGCCCCCAGCCATGTCTTTGTACTTTAACCAAGATATCTGTGCTGGATGTGCTCACAGGCATGTCCCAGCTCTCCATTGGTTTTACCAGTTTAGAAAAGTTTTAAGTTATTAGCCAGTCAGGTTTTAGGTTAGATTGTGAGGTCTGGCTCCAGCCAATGAAAATCAGACACAGCAGTAAGGATGCCCCCAAATGTGTAAGAAATAAATTTGTCTGTTTTCCCTTGTTCACTGTACTCTCTTGGCTAGTGAGGGTACCCTTTCTGCAGTCCAGGAAGTAAAAACTGCGTTGCTGAAAGATTCTTTGTCTCAGTGATAATTTTTCTTTGCAGCACCAAGCATCTATTTCCAACACCCTGCTTCCCTGGGTTGTTTGTGAAGAGTGAATTTGCTAATGATGCAAAGTGCTTAGAATGAGCCTGGCTTTCTTGGCACTGTAAAATGCTGTTTGTTGCAATTGCTATTGTCTAAGATCATACAGCAAGTGCAAGGCCTGCCCGGGCCAATGCCTGTTTCCCACATGCACCTTCTTCCTGCGTCTCAGGCCTGAAAAGTTGCTGATATGGCCCCAACCCACCTCACTCCATCAGTCCCTGTTACAGGCTCCTCCCACAGAGGTTACTTAGGATACCAGGCAAGACTGCTATGACCCAAGTGTGTGGGGATGTTGTGGAAAGCTCTGTCTATTCACTCGTGTATTCATTCACCAAAATTGATTCAGCACCTAATATGTGTGAACACTATGCTAAATACTGTGGCAATCAATTTAAAAGATGCCGCCCCGCCTCTGGGAGACAACAGGGAGGCTGATGTCTAACTCTGCCCAAGGGGGCCTCTGGGGGTACAGGCCCATCTGTTCCTTGACGATTCCCTCTACACTGCCAGCCCCAAGCCCTCACACCCACAGCCTCACATCTCCAGTGGTTTGGGGGCATTTTCTCTGGGATGTCAAAGTGAACATGGCCCCAATCAAACTCCTGACCTCCAATCCCTGTCCCCACCCTGCTCCTCCCAAGTCTTCCCATCTCAGTATGTAGAATATGTAGAACTCCTTCCAGTTGCTCAGACACAAACCTGGGAGCTGTTCTGAGCTGTTACTTCCTCTCACACTCCACATCCAGTCTGCCTACACATCCCTCTGGCTGTCCCTTCAGAATGGGTTAGAACTGGACCCCTTCTCCAAGGCTCACTGCCTCAGCCCCCACCCAAGGCCACTGGAGTCCTGCAGGAACCTCATGATGGCTCCCAGCTGCTATTGTTAGCTCCATGGCCTCTCTCTGCACGGTCCCCACTGGGAGAGGTGAGGAGTGTGAGAGGGAGAGAGGAGAGAATCTGAGAGAGGGGACAAGGAGGGGCCTGTGTTGCAATGGGCAAAGTGGTGAGGCAGCTGCCAGGCCTCTGCAGCTGGGGTGCCCATATGGGCACTGCCAACCAGCATAGAGGGGCAACTGCTCCTGAAGCCTTTGCCTTCCTTCTGCCCTCTCTCTCTGCAGTGGCCGCTGTCTCCTACCCAGCCGGGCTTTCCTTTGGAGGACCAGGCACTTCTCACCTAAACGATACCTGCCTCCTCCACACTGGAGCTCACAGGCCAGTTGTCCCAGAGTGCTCCTCTTGGCCAGCCATTAGCCTGGATTTGTTCATTAGGACCAATCCCTCTCTATGTATACAATCGTATTTTTTCAAACCAAAAATTAGGATCCATACTCTGAAAACTGGACTGAATGCTCAAAGCCTGAGCCCTGCTGGAAAGTCTGAGCTGGGCTGCCATCACAAATGCACGGATGTTGACATGGGAGCCTGGTGACCAAAATGAATCTCCAGGGGTGATCAGTCTAGGGAAGATGCTTCAGAGCAGAGGAAACGGGGTGTGCCCTCCCCACAGCCCCCGAAGCTACTCTGATAACCAGTCTCTCACCAGTCCCTTCCCTTCTGGACTTCACCTGTCTCCATTCTGCCTCTGGATGTGTCCCCCCACCCCCTGGGGTGAGGATGCAGTCTAACTCCTTGGGCCCCTTGGCCCTGTTTCTCGAGGTTCGGCTTATTGAATTGATGTCCCTAACTTTATTTACCCTCTTTTACTTCTCATCACAAAAAGAGCTCAGATCATCCTGTACCGGCCTCTATGTTTGAAAGGCAGCTGTCTACTTCTGTTTTGTATGTTACAACTTGCAGTGCCACGCACACCTTCACCGCGGCAAGCCACGTGCTTCTCCATAGAGCCTTGCCTGTCCTGGCCTGGCTCAGGCTGCCTTGTCTCCGGCTTACTCCCTCCTTTTCTGGCCAGTCCATGCTTAGGCTGTACGATTCAGTGCAGGGGCCACCTCCTCCAGGAAGTTCTCCTTAAAGGGATCTTTTCCCTGTGCCTCATATGTTGCTCCAGTTCCTTCAACAACTGCCAATTACTATGGATATGGCTTGTCTGTATACCATCTGTGTCTGGGATTAGACTGAGCTCCCTGGGGCGGGGCTGGTTGCTTTCAGCCCCAGCATGTAGCACAGATTCTAGCACACAGTAAGTGTATAACACTTGCTTGGTGAGTGAATGAATGAGGGAATGCATGAACAGATTCCAAAGTCACTGTACCATGAGTTATCATGCTACTTCCCCACCAACCTCCACCCCTTGTGAAAAGGATTTCCTTACCCTTCTGCCAGCAAAGCATCCACAGGGAGGCCCTCAGGGAAGGAGGAACCCCCCATCCTCCCCACACACCTCTCTCTGACCAATGCTGGACCTGCAGAGGGAAATGCTGTGTGTCCCTCGGGCTGACCAGGACATGACCTGCATCAGGACCCATACCCACTTGGGTTGTGTGGTTCGGAGTGGAGGAGGCCTAGAGAGGTCAAATGGCAGACAGCCACAGTTTACCCGGAATGACTCCTTCAGCTTCCTGGGGAAAAGCTTCAGGCATTCTTCTGCAGTGATAAAGTGGCTGTTCATGTAACTTTTTGAAGGAGTTGGAGGCTGCAGCGGCGGAGTGGCTTCCGGCCCTCTCATTGGAGGATCTATAATAATGACATAGATCACGGTTTCCATGAGTGCCTGCCGGCTTCTTTTCTATATTAACACTTTATCTCTGCCTGTCTTGAACAGTGTTAAAACCCCACACAGTGCCCTCCTGTGAGCTGCATGCAGCACTGACTTTCTTACTATCTAGTTACTTTTCCTTCAGTTTCTCAGACACTTTCCTCCTCTTCTAGGAGGGACTGTGCTTTAGACTACAGGGCCTCTTTTACCCTCACAGACTGCACTTGGCACCCTGGCAAGGGGCCAGGCGGTGGGGTGGGGGTGTCATCTACCAGACAGGAAGGAACCAGAGGGAGGCCACGTGCAGCCTCTGCTGTGAGGCGGGTGAAGCAGAAGCCAGGCTCAGGAGGGACAGAGGATGCCCACAAGCTTGAGTGCCCCACCCATCTGCCCACCACACTGTGGAGAGGGTGCAGGTTTAACAGGTTCAGAGAACCACATCTGGAACCAAGTCCCAGGACTTCCTGGTCGCGTGTCTCTTGTTCATCTCCCAATTCCTAGAGGAGGAGAATGAGAATTCCTGCCTCTTTTTGTGGTTTCCCGGAATCACGTCCTAAAGACAAGAATATATAATTTATTCAATATTCATTAGTTCAGTGGCTATTTCTTGACCACGCATCTGTTAAGAAACATGCCTTCATCTGCTTCTTGGTCCTTCCAGCAACGCTCAGGAGAAGGTCCTCATGTTGGTTTACACACAAGGTAACCTATCATGTGTACTTTACCTGTGGGGCAGTAAGGCTTGGGGGCCGCTGGCTCTCCTGGGAGGTGGAGCCCGTGGAGAGCACAGCTGAATCCAGGCCGTCTGATACCAGAACACAGCTGGTTCCCTACTGCCTGTGCCCTCTCCCTCCCCTAAAATTAACGAAGTAAGTGTAACCTTTCCTTAAAAACTCCACATCGGGTGCCAGGCACAGTGTCTCATGCCTGGAATCCCAGCACTTTGGGAAGCCAAGGCGGGCAGATCACGAGTTCAAGAGATCAAGACCATCCTGGCCAATATGGTGAAACCCCATCTCTACTAAAAATACAAAAATTACTCTGGGTGTGGTGGCATGCGCCTGTAGTCCCAGATACTCAGGAGGCTAAGGCAGGAGAATTGCTTGAACCTGGGAGGCGGAGGTTGCAGTGAGCCGAGATTGCACCACTGCACTCCAGCCTGGCAACAGAGTGAGAGTCCATCTCAAAAAAAAACAAAACAAACAAACAAACAAAAAAACCTCCATATCTACTCCATTTCCATCTGAGTGTGCCCTTGTGTCAGTGCCAGGCTACACACCAGGGACTTGGTTCCCGACGTTGTTCTCTGCACCTGTTGCACCTGCGCCCTCCACATAGTGTGATAGGCAGATGGATGGGGGACAGAGTGCCCTGAGCTCGTAGGCATCTTCTACCCTTCTTGAGCCTGGCTTCTGCCTCACCCACCTCACAGCCGAGGCTGCACATGGCCTCCCTCTGGTTCCTTCCTGCCTGGCAGATAACACCCCACCCCACTGCTTAGCCCCTCTGCCACATCCCCCTGACTCCTAGCAGAGGTCACAGAGGACCTTGCTCCCCATCTTGCTAGAATCTTCTTGTGTGAGAAAGCAGCTTAGAGGGACAGGGAGGAGACGGGCAGAAAGAGGAGGAGCAAGAAGTGAGGGGAGAACATGGCCAGGAGCAGGTGACAGATATTGAGTCCAGTTCCGGCTGTGATGGCTTTGCCAGCACTGGAACCTCAGGTAAGTGACCTACATGTCCTGGGCCCCAATTTCCTCACCTGAAAAATGAACGCACCTGGCATGTGGGATGTACTCCCTAAAATATAGGTAAGTTCCTTCTTATTTCCCTTTAAAGATGTCAAAACACATACCCAGAGACAGTGCTGAAATTCTACAATGCTCTGGCTTCTTGTGATGCCTTTTTACAGGGGTGTGGGACCTTGCTGTTTTAGGGTGGCAAATGAGAGTCTGGCAAGGCTAGGGGGACCTTGGTGAGGATCCAGCCTGAGTCTCTGGGAAACTCACCACCTCAGTCAGTCACCTCCAGACCCAAGGCCAGGAGAATGGAAGATGCTTAGAGCTGCTGCATTCTGCCCGGCCAGCCCGCAGGGGATTTGTGGCAAAGGAGAAGAGTATTCCACTGAGAGATATCTGGGTGATTCCTGCAGCATCTCTAGAGGGCTTGGTTGTCCACCTAAATGTCCTTAGCTTGTGAGAAAGCACCATTACCGAGTGGAGAGGTGGCCCCAGCACACAGCACAAAGGTGGGTTTCCTAACACCTGGTGGAGCGGGTAGGGGCTGGGGGCATGGCTGCGTAGCCTTTCTGAATCTCTGTGTCTTTCTCTGTCCACAGGGAGGAATAATATCTGTCTTGCCTGTGCTTGGTATTGTTAATTACACATAACCAGCAACTACATTAGGGGAAAATCTTAAGGGCCGTGAGGTGGGATTGAAGAAACAGGCTTTAGAGCACAAACTTTCTGAACCAATTTGTGCCCTGAGTTTGTAGAAGACTCTTTCAGGCAAAGTTCTGCACTCACCATTCTGAACATGGTCAGATATAATCAAACAAAAAACGTTTGTTTGCAGCCCCGGAAGACACCTTGTTTCAACATCTCAGCTTAGGCTACTTCAACCTGAGTGGCCTGGTGGCACTGCTACCAGAAACCTGCAGTGCCACCCAGGATGCATCCACGGGGTGAGCACTTGGCCATTAGGTACCTTCAAATCCTGCCGCAAAATCAAGATAGCTCATCCCTTCCTTCTCAAAGCCTATTTTAGTGGCCAGGAGGGCGTACTGATCATCATCCATGGGCATCCCAATGTCTTCCAGTACCTGACGAGGGAGAGAGGTGAGGGTGGAGAGGCATTAGGTGGTCCCTCGTGCCACTCCTCACTGAGCGCCTCCTGCTCCTGCACTCCTGCTGCTCCTGCGCTGGCTCACAGCAGGGCCCATGATTGTTACTTGTCTGCCCTGTCCCACAGGCTACCAGAGGGTGGGGCCTGAGTCTCCTGTGTCCCTGGGCCTTGCACAAGGCTTGTGTTTGTTGGGTGAGAGAACAAAGGGACAAGTGGCGCAGTCAACATGGTTTTCAGGCCCACAGGTGCCATGGCACTTTTCCAAGCTGTGCCATCCAAGATACCCAAAGCCACACTTGTCGCTGCCATGCCTTTAGAGTCTCATACACTAGGTTTATGTTGACCTATATTCAAGAAAACGATGGGCAGATCACGAGGTCAAGAGATGGAGACCATCCTGGCCAACAGGGTGAAACTCTGTCTCTACTAAAAATACAAAAATTAGCTGGGTGTCATGGCATGTGCCTGTAATCCCACCTACTCGGGAGGCTGAGGTGGGAAAATTGCTTGAACCTGGGAGGCAGAGGTTGCAGTGAGCCGAGATTGTACCACTGCACTCCAGCCTGGTGATAGAGTGAGACTCTGTCTCAAAAAAAAAAAAAAAAGAAAGCAAGGTAGTTGGAGAAAGGAAAACTGAAGTCTTCATTCGAGTTTCATTATAGTCCCAGTTGACATGGAAAGCTACTGTGTTTTTTAACGTGAGGGGCATCCATGTATGCTCTTTTTTCTCTTCCATACGCTAGTCCACTTTGATGAAAGTTATTCTGGATTCCTTCCCTCCAAAACGCATGGCCTACTGTTTCAATTTTGGATATGTTGGGGGCAGAGGGAACACCTGAAAAAACACTTGTCCCTGCCTTGCAAATACTGAAGTGGAATTGTCTCCATAATATCTCCCTAGGTATGACAGAAAAGATGATGCCCTTTGGCCAACAACCCAGACACAGCCACCTGCGTGGATGTGAGCCACCCAGAAAAGGAATACTAGGGGGACAGAGGCAGACCAAAGGCACCACCTCTGCTGATCTGAGTATTCACAGTCCCAATGAGAAAACATGGGTTTTCCTCCAGAGAAGAACACAGAATCACAGTTCTAAATGCATCTATGGGCCAAGGGGCCAAAGACATCCAGGATGACCAACCCCACCCGGAACAGGGGACGGAAGGCTTTCTAGGAGAACTGGGTTTGCCGATGGCTTGTGAAGAAAGTGTGTTGGCGGGATGAGGAATGTCAGGAAAGCCAACAGATGTCAGGTGGTCCTGATGCCACTGGAAGCCAGAGTAAGTTCCAGGTGGCGGAGCAGGGTAGAGGTGCTTGCTGCATTCAGTGGAAGAGGTGGCTGGGGAGGGAATGGAAGGACCAGGACAGGCAATGCTGTAGGGTCACCCTCATCACAGTATGGCACAGGACCACTTGGTCCCCATGTGTGCCAGGCACTGTGTGGGGCTCTGTACGGGCTCCACGTGCATCTCATTCAATCCTCAGCAGAAGCCTCGAGAAAGGCACTCTTTCTAACCTCATTGTAATGCTGTGGAAATGGAGTCTTGGAAAGTTTGGGTCACTTTTCTCAGACACATGAGTAGGAAGCGGTAGACCTGGGGCTTGCATCTAGTTCTTTTCTTCTTCCTCTTCCTCCTCCTCTTCTTCTTCTTCCTCTTTTTTTTTATTTTTGACAGTCTCACTCTGTCACCCAGGCTGGAGTGCATGGTGCTACCTAGGCTCACTGTAACCTCTGCCTCCCAGGTTCAAGTGATTCTCCTGCCTCAGCCTCCTGAGTAGCTGGGATTACAGGTGTGTGCTACCATGCCTGGCTAATTTTTGTATTTTTAGTGGAGAAGGGGTTTCACCATGTTGGCCAGGCTGGTCTCAAACGCCTGCCTTGGCCTCCCAAAGTGCTGGGATTATAGGCATGAGCCACCGTGCCCAGACTCAAACACAGTTCTTATCAACCACTGTGATGAGATCTACTGTTGGAATAAGGTCACAGGAGCCTGGACAAAGAACAGGGGAGATGAAAATGGATGGGGAATGGCTCGGTGGGAGAGGGGCACAGCTCTGCCAGGGAGACCTGGTGTCCTCCATGTATCCAAAGAGGCCACACAGGCAAAGGCCAGTCTGAGCCTTGGTAGAGCCTGAAAGGACGGGAGGCCTCTAAAAAGCTGCCCTGAGCCCACCTCCTACGTGCCTCCCTATCTCCCCAGGGTGGCTGTCAGGAGACAGTTTCTCTGGCCTTCAGGTTTTGATAGGGTGAGGTGCTTTCTGCCCCTGCCCCTCACACTAGAGCTGCGGAAGGGAAACCTCTTGGCTGCAGTCTGGACGCAGCTCTCAGCAAGAGGGCACACCACACCTTGTGGCGCAGTCATCAGCTTCTTTTGTTTCGGTGTCAGCCTTTTTGGTATTCGGGAAGAGGACTAGGGAGCTGGTCCTTGTGACTTATTCTCCCTTTCGCTGTCTATGTAAATAACAAACTGATTATGAAACGGGCATGCTGTGTCTTCGCTGGTCCAATCAGTCAGGCCTGGCCTTGGCTTGCTGCATGTGGAGGTTGACAGTAATCAGGCCACGATGTGGCTGGTGCAGGGCTAGAAGCTGAGAGAAAAGGGAAGGGATGCAGGTGTTACAGTGCTGCCCAGGGGGACAATGGCGGGTGGCAGCGCAGGAGTCCCAGGCTCTCCTTAGGGCCTGGCTGTGGACTTGGGCAGAAAGCACGTGACTGGGAATAGTGATGGTTCTGCGCCATCTGCACATACTCTCCAGCCCAGCTCTGCAGCAGTACCTGTCCCAGCACAGGATGGCAGTGGTGTTCAGGTAGAAAGCTGTGGCCCCCGCAGAAGCACCCACAGCAGCAGTGGGCCTCCGATTGATTGCTTGCTTTAAAAAAAAAAAAAACTTTATATTTTGAAAACAATTGCACATGAATTATTCATGGAAAATTCTTCTTGCTCAGTTCTTTCACAAAACCATATGTAATGGATCATAAGAAAATGTCTGCAGGCAAATGTTCCCCAGGCTGGAGGGCTGTGAGGTGCCAGGGGGATTTGTACCATCCCCTGAGGTACCATTTTGTACCCCAGCAGCCTGTCCAGCAGTTGCAGGAGTGTAATCCCCAGGGGTGCAGAGCACAGCAGAGAACACAAACGCTGCAAGTGCCATTCCCAAAAGAGGCTCAGGGCAGGCCACATATGTGAAGGTCTCTAATGTCTCTTGTGAGGCCCTTGTTGTACCACTTTCATTTTTCTAAGATGAACAGAGCAGCAAATCAACCAGATTTATCATGACCCTTGCAGGCAACATACAACATGAAGAAAGGCTCACTGGCAATGTTTATAAAACAGATTTAAATGTTTGACTATTCAAGCCATTTTCTTTGGTCTTTTCCAGAAGGCATTCCCCTAAGAAAGTTGCTCAAAGACTGACAAACTACAGTCTGGCATGTTTTGATTCACCAGAGAGTCATACTCCTGCCATCCCTGGGGCATCCCTGAGATTGCAGACTGACTCTTCCCCAGGACGCCACAACATTTCAGGGAATTGGTGCTGGGCCCTCTCCATGAAGGAAGATTCCCTGAGAGCATGCCCAATGATGAAGGTGAGGACTCAGACTTAACATAGTCCCTGTACAATATCTTTAAGCAGCCACCAGTTTCTATGTGTGGTACCTGTTTGCTATGTCTCTTTGCAGCACTTCTTTGGTGGTTTCTATGCAATTACACTATGCATTCTTACCTTTTCACAGTCTTTGTATACTTAATATTGTGCCACTTTACACAAAATGTAGAAACCTTGCAATCTCATAAAAGTCTCCTGCACCCTGTTCTTATGCTATAGTTGACATTTGTTTCATATCTACCATATGTTATAAATCCCACAAGGCAATGCCATGGTTTTTGCTTTGAATATTCCTATGCTGCTTTTAAATGAAGAAAAGTAATAGCCTTCTATATTTAAGCAGCTATTTGCCATTTCTAGCGTTCTTTGTTCTGCCATAAACAGCTAAGACTTCCTAGTATCAAATTCCTTCATCCAGAAACCTCCTTTAGCATTCCTTGTAGTGAGGATCCACTTGTAATAAATTCCTAGCTTTTGTTTTGTTCAATTTGAAATCATCACCTTCATTCCTTAAGGAGACTTTGGCTGGGTATAAAATTCTGGGTTGAGAGGTTTGGTTTTGCTTTTGCTTTTTTCCTTTCCATATGTTACTGTTCCACTATCTTCAAACCTCCTCCATTGTTTCTAATGCAAAGTCAGTGGTAATTTAAAATGTGGTTTCCCTGTTTGTAATGTGTCATTTTTCTCATGCTGCTTTTAAGATTTCTCCAATTGATTTTGCTTTTCAGCAGTTTGCCTATGATTTTCTTGGTAATATCCTGCTTGGGGTTTTCTGAGCTTCTGGAATCTATATTAGGGCCTTTCACCAAAATTGGAAAATTTCAGAAATTTCAGCCATTATTTATTCACATATGTCCTCTTCATCTCTGTCTTTTTTCCTTTTGTGAGATCTTTTGATATTGTTCATATGTTTGTGAGAAACTATTCTCTCTCTTTTAAAAAAACTTTTCTCTCTCCTCTTCAGTTTGAATAAGTATTAATTTATCCTCAAGTTCATTGATTTCTGTCATTTTCATTCTGTGGTTAAGCTATCTGGTGAATTTTTTTTTTTTTGAGATGGAGTTTTGCTCTTGTTACCCAGGCTGGAGGGCAATGGCGTGATCTCAGCTCACCACAACCTCCACCTCCTGGGTTCAGGCAATTCTCCTGCCTCAGCCTCCTGAGTAGCTGGGATTACAGGCACATGCCACCATGCCCAGCTAATTTTTTGTATTTTTAGTAGAGATGGGGTTTCACCATGTTGACCATGATGGTCTCTATCTCTTAACCTCGTGATCCACCTGCCTCGGCCTCCCAAAGTGCTGGGATTACAGGCTTGAGCCGCTGCGCCCAGCCCCTGGTGAATTTTTTATTTCAGATATCTTATT